GTACCGGAGTTGTTACCCTGGATGTGTTGGCGGGACCTACGGTGGATGTAAGGACGGCAAGGGAGGTGGGCGATGTCCGGGTGGTGCTGCAGCTCCGGTGGAGGAGGGAACGGTGCATTCAACCGGATCCGTAGGAGAGCAGCGACAGAATAGTGGACTAATGGAGTAATCCTGCCACGGGATAATGGCAAAAGGACAGGAGATCCCGGGAGAGGGCAAAGCGGGGAGGCTGCAGTGTCACGAGGCGAGGAAAGAGAGCCGGAATCGAAGTAGCCGGCGTGCATTTGCTACCGGCGTTAGCACCAGCTACCGGCGTTAGCCCCCGCTAGCAGCGTTAGCCTCAGCTACCGGCGTTAGCCCGAGCACTTGTAAACAAAAGTGCTGGAGTTACAGCAGGATATGCTGGGACAATGGAACCGATTAAGTGTCACACAATTGCATGAAAACAAGTCGGTAGTGATGGTGTGAAAGCCGAGAAAACACTAAGGAGGGAGATGAGCTCATAACTATTTACAATTTTAGTTGAATAAATCAGAAACATACCATGCACAATTAATACAACATTTAAACAAAAACATCTTTATAAACATCTCTGCTGTGGTGGAAGCTAATAGGGAAGGCCTATGCTGCTATATTCTAATGTTGCTCATCATGGTGGTACTCAGAGAGCTCAATGTTTTCTCAGGTGGTACAGAGTATAAAAAGTTTGAGAACCACTGCCTTAAAACATGTACAGGGGTTCCTAGACTTGTCAATGTAACTTGATTTTGGACATAAGTCAGAACACATACTTTGCATTAGTGCCTATGTAAGTTACCTACGCTAACACAGTGGTAACATCAAAATCTAGGACATTGTTTCCCAAAGACTGGGTCGCAACCCTCAGGTGGGTCGCAAGAGATTTGGTTTTTTTTGGGGTCCTCTTGCAACATGTTTCCCAGGAGTTTACGAATAATGTCTATTGACTTGGGATGCGAAAGTTTGTGACTTTTAAAATATGGGTCCCCAGAAAAAAAGTTTGGGAAACACTGGTCTAGGACATAAAAACATCAGAAGAGTCTGACTTAAGCCTGGGAGCCATAAGGAAGGTCAAAAACTCCCCCCAAAAAACAACACAAATATATTCCCTCCCACCATTAAATGGTTTACACCATTGGGTCCTTAAGCTGGGTCCAACTGAACTTGGGTCCTTACCCTTATTTTGTAGATATGACTGTTGTTGTTGACTTATTTAATGTTAAATCAATAAACATTTGCTTAGAGTATTTACAGGGAGTGCAGAATTATTAGGCAAGTGAACCCAAAAGACTCATTAATATCAAAGCTGAATATTTTTGGGAGTTGGAGTGGGGCTTTTTTAGTTTTAGCTATTTTAGGAGGATATCTGTGTGTGCAGGTGACTATTACTGTGCATAATTATTAGGCAACTTAACAAAAAACAAATATATACCCATTTCAATTATTTATTTTCACCAGGGAAACCAATATAACAGCTCAACATTCACAAATATACATTTCTGACATTCAAAAACAAATCAGTGACCAATATAGCCACCTTTCTTTGCAAGGACACTCAAAAGCCTGCCATCCATGGATTCTGTCAGTGTTTTGATCTGTTCACGATCAACATTGCGTGCAGCAGCAACCACAGCCTCCCAGACACTGTTCAGAGAGGTGTACTGTTTTCCCTCCTTGTAAATCTCACATTGGATGAGGGACCACAGGTTCTCTATGGGGTTCAGATCAGGTGAACAAGGAGGCCATGTCATTAGTTTTTCTTCTTTTAGGCCCTTTCTTGCCAGCCACGCTGTGGAGTACTTGGATGCGTGTGATGGAGCATTGTCCTGCATGAAAATCATGTTTTTCTTGAAGGATGCGGACTTCTTCCTGTACCACTGCTTGAAGAAGGTGTCTTCCAGAAACTGGCAGTAGGACTGGGAGTTGAGCTTGACTCCATCCTCAACCCGAAAAGGCCCCACAAGCTCATCTTTGATGATACCAGCCCATACCAGTCCCCCACCTCCACCTTGCTGGCGTCTGAGTCGGACTAGAGCTCTCTGCCCTTTACCGATCCAGCCACGGGCCCATCCATCTGGCCCATCAAGACTCACTCTCATTTCATCAGTCCATAAAACCTTAGAAAAATCAGTCTTGAGATATTTCTTGGCCCAGTCTTGACGTTTCAGCTTGTGTGTCTTGTTCAGTGGTGGTCGTTTTTCAGCCTTTCTTACCTTGGGGTGTCTTGTGTGTCAGTGGTGGTCGTTTTTTAGCCTTTCTTACCTTGGCCATGTCTCCGAGTATTGCACACCTTGTGCTTTTGGGCACTCCAGTGATGTTGCTGCTGAAATATAGCAAAACTGGTGGCAAGTGGCATCTTGGCAGCTGCACTCTTGACTTTTCTCAGTTCATGGGCAGTTATTTTGCGCCTTGGTTTTTCCACACGCTTCTTGCGACCCTGTTGACTATTTTGAATGAAACGCTTGATTGTTCGATGATCACGCTTCAGAAGCTTGGCAATTTTAAGAGTGCTGCATCTCTGCAAGATATCTCACTATTTTTGACTTTTCTGAGCCTGTCAAGTCCCTCTTCTGACCCATTTTGCCAAAGAAATGGAAGTTGCCTAATAATTATGCACACCTGATATAGGGTGTTGATGTCATTAGACCACACCCCTTCTCATTACAGAGATGCACATTACCTGATATGCTTAATTGGTAGTGGGCTTTCGAGCCTATACAGCTTGGAGTAAGACAACGTGCATAAAGAGGATGATGTGGTCAAAATACTCATTTGCCTAATAATTCTGTACTCCCTGTATTGTGATAATGAGTAACGGACTAACTGCTGAAGTACAGGCTTGATTGCCTACCAGACCGCCTTCCAGTCACTGACCTGACTCCCTGCTTACTTCTCAAGTTCTTGTCACCCACCACTTGGCATCAGTTACCATAGTAATGGCCTCCAACAGTGTCAGTAATATATCAGACAAATTTCTTTAGACGGTTCTTTATATAATTTACTTCTCAGTTCATGATCTGAACCTGTGATTTTTGAGGAGATACGTTCATGTCTAATGTGATGGCAATAGAGACAGGCATCAATACTGCTGACATTTCTGCTCCACTGTGTGTGTGTGTTCTAGACCACATGACCTTTAAGATGGAATATGAAGTGACCTTATAAGATGTGATTACATTTTAACGACACTGACTTTCGTTGCGAATAATGGTGGAAACAAAACACAGGAAAAACGGACATACAGTGCCGTGAAAAAGTATTTG